TAGGGCGGGAAGGGGCGGGACGGCGCTGTCGGGCGGCTCGGGGGGCTTCAGGTGCTCCGGTCGCCGCTTCTGAAGAGTAGCGAAGGCGGCCTCCAGGAACAATCGCTGGCCGCTGGGACAGGGCAGGAAGGCGGATCTTTGTAACGGGTACTCCAGGGCATCACTGTTCCCTAAGCTGTAAACAATAATAAATCAGAAACTTAGGGAAGTAATAATTTGGCACTTTCTTTCCAAGAAGCCAGGAGCAGCTCTCGCCCAGCCCCGGTAGGTAACGCTAGGTGGTGCAGCAAGCACGAGGGAAGTTCTTCTAAACAATTTTTTTTATAACCGCAAACAGCTTGACCAGCATTCCCATTTGACATGTGTGATTTTGTGCGTGCTGTTTGTATCCCAAGAGGTTGTGCGGGTTTATTTGAACTATAAAAGTTTGATCTAATAAAGTTCGTTCTCCCTCTACAAACCTGGACTTGCTTATGTACAAATTAGAACTGCTTTTTGTACAGACACAGAGGTATCTGTATGAGACACACGTGGTGGACTGTCAGAGTATCCAGGCTCAATTGGCAACGCAAGGAAATTATTGATGATAGCATAGCTCTCTGGGCAGACTTATTTATAATGCTTTTTTGGTGAGGCAACCTGATTTGTATTACATTACATGATGCTGAGCTGGACTACACCTGTGTCAGAATGGGCAACGTAGAGAGGGACTTAGAGCAGTGCCCCAGTTGTGTGAAGACTGCTAATTCATGGCTGCACTCTGACACAGGCCTGAAGGCTTCTCTGCTCTTTGTATTATAAGATTGTCTTTGTACTGGCTAACAGTTTTGACTTAAGGGAGCTTGTGAAGTGTAAAAATGTCATAACCTGGGAATCTATAAGTTTATTTGCTATTAAATTAAAATGCTTTTGAAAGTGTAAACCAGATGTTTTGAATATTTGAGCCTAAAATCCTTACAATATCTGTTATAGATGTGACAGCTGAGGCAGTAGGTGTAGCTATTGCTGCACCTCCATCAGAAGGGGAGGCAAATGCAGAGCTGTGTCGCTACCTCTCAAAGGTGCTAGAAGTAAAGAAGAGTGAAGTTATTTTGGAGAAGGTACTTCCTTTTATTTTTCTTTCAGTGTTGTTGTACTGCAATTTAAATTCAGGATTTTGAAGCTTACTCATTGAGTGCAGGGAGCTGCTCTCCCAAGTTCAGTCCAAAAACACTTTAAAGGTGTTTAGTTGAGTTAATGGAATGATTCACTGAGAACAAACCTTGTGTAGGAAGAACACAGCTGATTTTGAGATCTTTAATCAGAGCAATTCTCATCATGATATATTTTCAAAATTTGTGCGGGTCATGTTTTCATGACAATGTAATTTTCAAGATTTTTTCAAGATTTTTTTTTTTCATGTCAAATGCAGTTCTCAAAATTTGTGCTTGCAGAGAAATGTGTATTTCATGAATAACTTTTTATTCATTTTTTGGAATTAACCTATATTTGAATGAAAATTTGCTGGCCGCTAACTGACACACATAAGCAAGAGTATTTATAAGCACTTGGATTGTAGCTGGGCCTCAAGAGTTTCTTTGTATTAGAATTTACATGACTTTGGCAAATGGAAACTCTTTGTTTTATTAATTGCACTGAATAAATAATTGGTTTTATTAATTCATTGTATTTAAAGTCAGTCTTTCCAGCCATGTTCATCTATAGTTCATGAACATAAGAGCACAATGAAAAAGTGTGGGTTTATTTTTGTCCTTTGGTTTAATGTAGTAGTTGTAGGAGTGACTGAACTGAGCACTGTGTTGCTGAAAGGTAGGGAAGTGAAGATTTTAGTCTTGTTTTTCTTGAATTGTGGACAAACTGCTTCAGCTGTTTATCAACACTTTGCAAATAACACTGTTTTCCTATCTTAAAGGGATGTTCAGGTTCAACTAGATTATTCTCACAAGTGCTAAGCGGAGTTGAACATAAAAGAAGCCAGTGTTGTCTGACCTTCTTAGCTCAGTTGTTCTGACCTACAGTGTCCAAATAATTACATGCTGGTGTCTGTTTTGAGAGCCACTGTTTATTTTCAGTGAAGCATTTATTTTATCTGTGGCTTAGATTTTTCCATCCTGATCTGCTAGGTGTAAACAGCAAGTGGTTTTTGGTACTGGGTGCTCTCTTATGTGCTATTTGTTTAGTGATAAGTGCTAGCATTAACAAAACCGGTCCAAATTGGAAAACTGCTGGGAAATTATCTAGTATAAAACTGAGGTTATCAGATTTCTATGCAGGGACCTTGATTTTCATCATCTGCTGGCTAGACTGCATCAAAAATCTGGTTTTAATTTTAAATTTCATGCTATATATCTGTAGGGTAGAGTTAAGGACTTTCTCTTCCTTCAGGATGTTCCTTATGGGCTTTTCAAACTTTTTGCCAGGTTGCAGATTAACAAGTAACTTGTTAATCACAATTTACTGAATGCTAGCAAAGTTGTGTCTTCAGGAAATATGAAACGAGGTTGCAGGTTTGCCAGTTCCTATGTAAAATAGCCTTTTTTCAGTAATACAAAACCAGGTCTATAATATTTCAAATAACAGCTGTATGAATCTGTATATCTAATAGGTTATAGATATGATGTGATTTCATTTATTATCAACCTGAGAACTCTGCTTTAGAGTAACTAATACTCTGTGTGAGGTAACTCTGAAGAAAGACCTGAAGCTACACAGTTATCAAATATACATACATTTATATATATATATGTATCTATGTGTGTGTGTGTGTGTATAGCCACCTTTTAAAAACAAAAATAGAAGTTAGTTGGAGTCTTGCTTCTAGATTATAGAAGTGAATTATGGAAACTTATCACTCCTTGCTTTTTGTTCTAGGTAGGTTATAAAAAGAGCATCTGCTCAGGGGGTGCTCTGGGAGCTGTATCCAATTTTAAAAGGAGAGTAGCTAAGACATTGTTTTCCCCTTTCAAAGAACGAGAAAAGACATGTATGACCTGTCTCTTACTATTGTTAATTCTGCCTACCCACACTTTAAGAATTATTTTAAAAGCACCTGATATGTTGGCATTGCAGTGATATTTTTTTGTAATGTGTGTTTGGTGGCGATTCTCTGAAAGATGTTTTTTTTGTGTGTGTCTAAACCAGGGTGGTAAATCGCGTGAAAAAGTGGTGAAGATTTTGGCACTGATGACACCAGAGCAGATTTTAGAAAAACTGAAAAAAGAAGCTTCCAGTTGACCTAAAGCAAGAGTGAAAAATGGGACAGTGCATCTTGGTAAATTGACTGATATTTGTTCTTATGTAGATCTAGTCCTGTGGAGAATGTGGGTAATGACTACGGAGAGAAACTTCTACCCCCACATCCTCATGTAAATATCGCTGCTGTATAGGGGAAGTTTCTGTGTAGGTTTGGTTAGAGAATCTGGTCTTTACTGAGGCTCAGTGCCTGCTTCTGTCACTACAGACTCTTTCTCAACTGTGGAGAGTTTCCTGTTGGTAAGATTTGTCCTCTTTCCCAGTCCCTGAACAAATGGTTTAGGAAACTGGTTTTCTTCGTGAAACAAACTTTGGTTAACGACGTGAAAGGCTTGGAGTAACAGGCTTCAGTGTGAAAAGTGGCACAGAAGGATGAGTCTGTCAGGCTGGTAAAGCCCCTGGAAGGATGTTCGGTATCTAGCAGCAGGTACTGGGTCCAGTTTTGCATTGTGTGCACGTATGTACATATAAAATAAATGTATGTGAAGCCAGTATACTGTTGTTGATCACACAACAAGCTAAAAGCAGAATCATCTGAACAACTGAAACAAACCTGAAGTTTACAGTATGAAAAACTGACCCAGAACTTCGTAACTGGATTCACGGTGTCACTTTGTAATAGTCTGTAATTAGTTTCCTGAAAAGTAGAGATACAGTCATGTATCTTTGCCAAATGTATGTCAAGTATAATGACTTGTTTTTAATAAAAAAGGCAAAAAGTATTATCAAACTTTGTTTTGTGTTTATATTTTTAACAAAAAAAAGTTTCTTGGAAGTCACTTACTAGAATGTTATTTTTAAACAGGGCTTTTTTGCAATCTTTGTGGTTTAGAAATGAGGAGTATTCCAACTCATAGAGAGCCAAGCAGAGTCATTTGTAGAACAAGAAGTCTGAAACAAAATGGGCAACTGTACTTCGGTCTCAGGGCTAATGAGAAAGTGGCTTAACTTCTCTCTGTCATGCTTCAGGGGTCAGAGTAAGATTGAATTAGCATTTCCCAAAAATGTATGTGATACTGCACATGTCTCTGGTAGAGTTTGCTTTTTCATCTGCATCACTGCTGATGTCTGACACTGTCCTATATTTACTGTGGTTGTCGTATTATATATATGCATATATATATAAATATAAATGTCTAAAGTAAACGTTTGCTTAAGGTTTGTCATACCTTCTCCTGGAAAACGTTATTAATTCATAAGTTATAGCTAAATTTATTTACCAGCTTCATGCAGCGCAGACGTCATAGCTCATAATTTAGTTTTTCATGGACAAAAATGTTTTGCTTCAGGAAATTCTTTCTGGTTCCTGTTATCCTAAATATTGCAACAGTTGTTTTTAGAGTTAGAGAGCTGGTGCTCGTCAAGATGACAGCTCCTTCAAGATGACTCATTTAAAGATGTTCTGAAAAATGTTACTTTCTTATTTGGACAGTGTTTAGAGAACTAAGTCTAAAAAGTGAATGCTGTTTGCTTAATGGTTTGCATCTGGGCTCCTTATTGTCTTGGGTGTTTGGTCAGCCACACATTGCCTCAGTTGCCTTTCCTTACCCTTTTCAGTCAGTGCAGGCTGGTTTTGTTCTACTGTTCAGGCAGCTCCTTGCGGTTTCATCTGTTCTTGCCCAGCAGAGGGGTACCACATCTTGCAGAAAAATTAAGGCAAAGCTAGCCAAAACCAAGTGTTAATTTTTTTTTTCCTCATTTCCTAAACTTCTTTTTATTGTGAGTAGAAAACAACAATCCAAAGACTGAGGAATCCTGCATTTTAAGTTCTATTCTGAATTGGATACTGCAACAGCCATTATAAAGATTTCTTTGGAAGCTAATACTGTATTTTACATTATAGGTATTATATACTATATTGAAATAATGTATTACACTTTCCCACTACTTTAGACCCAGATTAGGGGAGGCAGGTACAGCCTCTGAAGTACATTGGTCTCCAATGTTGATTATCTGTAACTACAGCCAATTTAATCTTTCCGTTCCCTGTCCTGTCAACATGTTCTGCCTGCTCTTTGCTAGCTTCCACTTCAGAGGTTTCACCTTTCCTAAACACCTTCAGCTGGCATTCTGCCTGTTTTCTTCCTAATCAGTGGAAGGAACTTAAAGATAAACAGGGTGCCTTCAGTGTATTATGCTGTTGTTTTTATGTAGTGTGAGCCAGGCATATTGTCATATTCATCACTTGTCAAGTAGAAGACAAGTACTGTTCAGCTAGGAAGTTTATTAGTCCTTGGAAAAGCAACCATTGTGTCCTCCTCCCTATTGCATTTCTGTTTTCTGTTGCATTTACAAGTGTGGAGAAGGGAAGGAAGCCATTGATGTAATACTGATTTTGTGCTTGGCCAAGCCAAGTACTTTTTCTTTTGTCTGGATGGTAAAACGACATTTAAGACTCACTGTAGTCTGTCCAGTTCAGTCGTCATACAGTATTTTTTCAGAACTTGTTGCAGTTGGCTGGTTGGTAGCATTGCCTCTCAAAGCATTTCTGAGTTGAAGTCTCAGTTATTTTGTAAAAAAGCCACATCAGATGGAAGCCACAGTAGCAATCAAAGCAGAAGGATGGAAATTAAGTTCTGCTGTAAGCGGTGCCCTGTCTCACTTAAGTCTGAAACAGTGGACTAGCTAGCAGTGCAGCAAATAAAGTCTCTGTATGTTGGGAACAGAGAACTCATTTAATGTGAGTAACCAAAATTATTTATTTGAGTAGTATAAATAACACTGGGATGTTGTCATATCTGATATCTGAGGGCCTCATGTCAGTGTTTTTCATGCAGCCTTCCAGCTATATCCATAATATCTTGGTTGTGGATACGTGTATCCCGGTGAAGTGCCTGGGAGGCAGGGATTGCTGGTCCATTGTATATCAAAAGTGAGGTACAGAAGGATTAGACAGCTTGTGTGATCAAACAGGTCAGTGCCAAAACTGTGATTTTGGCCTAGCTTTTACAAATCTTGTATTGAAATCCTAACCTGTCAACTATCTCCTCATGAACACAGTGAAATACCTTTCATTCTGTTGAGAAAATTGTGGTAGCAAATATCCCTAACTCTTCAGCAGAGTATGTTTTTAATAGAACAGAGCTTTGTGATACTGTAGGAGGCTTCTTCCAAGAACCTCAAAACATTTTTCACATCCCCTGTCTCAAAATAAAACCTAACTCTTATTCCTAGACCAGTTTAAAAACACTGTGGTGCCAGTTGCTACCCTCCTTTTACTTGTTGGTCCCTGCTTTATCCATGTGCATTAAGCTGCATGATTACTCATCTACTTGAAATCCTGCTGTTGACTTGAGCACTGTCCACTTTTCCTAATACATTGACCAATTTCAGTACAATCTGTCTAATGGTGATTTAATATCTTACTGCTTACAGACCTGGGCAGTCAGGGGATGTCTTAATATCATTAAGATATTTAAACATTACCAAAATATAAGTCATCTGAATACATTCTATGCAAAGCAGTCTTATGGCATAGGACATTCTTGGTCTTTCATGTACTCGGTTACATTTATTTTTTAAAATCCAACTTTTAAAGTACGTATATGGCTTCATAACAGTGCTCTAATATGCTAATTAAGGATATTTAATTATACCCTCTGAAGCTGGCCTCTTTGCTCTTTTACTTTCAATCCACTCCATTTATCATCTGCAGCACATTCCCATCTTCTTTTAGTCCCCAGTGTTTCTAAATCCCCATTTCTTCAGGTATCATCAGTCTAAATAATCCTGTATAATTGACAGCTTTGTCAGTAACTGGCAGTGGCAATTTACCAGAAAGTAGTTTAATGTCATCCTTCTTTCAGCCTCCAGAAAGATAGATAGACCTGATCTTTCTGCTCATTACTTCAGGTCTCACTCTGTGTTTCACCTCTCCTACTGTTTATTTGCATATGTAAAACTTGAGCCAGCTGAGTCCCTTTTTTCCATTCAACCTACTATATTCCTTCCTTAATGTTCCTTTACCTCAGGAGGATGATTCATTGCCGTATTAGCTATTATAAAAGTGTGCTCCCATCTCCTTCTGGGAACACAGTACTTTACCCACGTGTAAAGCGTGTCTTGGCCATTATTTTCTAGGATGGCTGCTGCACTTGGGGCAAAGTGCTGTTCATGTAACCAAGGCACAATAAACAGTCAGAAAGCTGCTGTCAGAATGAAATACTTGCCTGAAAGGAGGAGTCTGATACTCCTCTGAGGTACTGGGAATTAATTTCTTCCTGGTCCCTTATGTATTGGCTTTTCACGTAACTGTTAGTGACCCATGAAGAATTTTGCTTTTGTCTATAAATGCTGCATTTATTTGTTTTTGCATTGTTTCAGGAGCTGGGGAAGTGATGAAGTAGTCTACCATACCATCTAACTATAGCTCGAGGCTCAGTTTTTGGCATGTTGTTTAAATAACATCTTGAGTTTCCAAGTCTGAAGTAAGGCAGGTGGAAATGGAAATATATTGAGTATCAATTTAGCAGTTGGTCACTATAGAAACACACTGTAATGAGAACAGTTAACTGTGGACTTGAGGAGAAAAGAGTGTTGGAATGAACAGCAGGGGTTGAAAGCCTCATTTTGTGCTGCTTTGATAAAGCAGTTTCTGCCTCAAGAGAATAACTGGGGTTACAACGTGTAATTCTGAGGTGATTGTCATTAAGTTGCTTTTGTGTTACCTACTACATGTGCAGTGCATGTGGGAAGGGCTGCAACATGTTCCTTTGGCCAGCTTTCATTACTGTAGTGTTTTGCAAACCAGGATGCATTGAGGCATAATCTATAAAAATATTTCAAAGCTCTCAGTAGATGTTAGGACATACTTGGTGCCCATCTGGCTGAGAGGGGCGTTAGCAAGTTGAATTTTATAAAACAAGCTATTTCTATGGAACCTTTTTTACTGGTGCTACTTTCAGTAGCTTATCTTAAAATCTACCAAGTTTTCTGCTTATTTTCTGATGTTCAGAAGGTCTGCATGGTTAAATTTGATAGTG